CAGGCTATCCTGATCATCCCACGCCCTGGAACACATTCTGCGTTCCCTTGCGTTGTTTTCCTAACTATCAGGAGCTGCTTTTACGAATAATAAGGGCCGAGGTTTAAAACCAGTGTTGGCAGATACTGAATTTCCTGCTCCCGTTCCCTCATTTTAATTTTCTCTTAGAACAGGAAAAAAAAAAAACCAGTCATGCCTGAACCTGCAGCTTTGTCTCCATCCCTCTTAGTAAGAGCAGGCAGAAAGAGTGTGAACCAGACCTGCATCTGTTTACTGCTGCTGCGCCCAAACCCAACAGGCCTGTTTTGAGAGAAGGGCAAAAAACCAGAAAGGAGCCAAAACCAAGCACACCAGATACAGGAGAGGGCAAAGCCACCTTTCCTACCTACTGACTATGAGGCTGGGAAGTCAGTCAGTAACTGGCCTCAGGGAGCCAGGAAGGTGTGGTTGTATTCACCTAATGCTGTGGGTGAGGCTCAGAGGATGGATTTTGGTCTGTGTCTCTCGTGTCTCTCTGTCTCTATCTCCCCCCCCCCCCTTGCTCTCTCGCCCTCTCTGCACTTAATACAGGATCATGAAACACGTTCGCTCTACCATCCACCAACTGAAACCCAGGCTCTGTACTAGTGACCTTTCGATCAACCAGACCACTGTCTTGCAAAGTTCATCTACACTGAATGAATGAACTCTAAGACAGTGGGAACACTATTCCGACTTCTTTGTCTCCTTTCACTTATGATTTAATATGGCACAAATCTAAGAAACTTTCAACACTAATCATTCATCCTCTTTGCCAGAGGAGGGACACTGGGGGGGGGGGGACATAGATAGTACTTACTTGTAAAATCCTTGTGCCCACGCACGGCTGTGAGAAGGTGTTATATCTGTACAAGCAGGGCAGAGTCCGGGCGAGCCCGACCTCTCACAACTCCTACAGGGCAACTTCCGTTTTAAAGTTCATCAATTAATTGAATAATTAACTTGAAAACAAAAATAGAAACAGCAAAAACTAACGAGAGGAAGTGGCCACAGAGGCAGGCTGACTTGGGTCGGGTCCTAACTCTTGTCTGTAGCTGAGGGATCGTGGGGGTTTTCTACGTCCAATTAATTTTTACCTACCCAAGCAGAGGTTACCGTGCCTGCGAGGGCTGCAGTGGCAATTAACAAGGTGATCTATGTAGTCTGTCAGCCGCACAGAAGGCAAGGAAGCTGACTGTATTAAAAGCATACACATCTTATCTACAAACCCACCAAGTGTTATTTTAAGCCACTGGTAAAATCCTTACGTTTACTGATCTAAAGGGTACCAGACAAATAACGTCCCCGCTTCTGGTGAGTCATTTACTTTAATTCTGGTCCTGACTTCTTTCATGATTAAAAATATTCTCAAGTAATTTTCTTAAAGATATTGTTATTTTTTTTTTTTTAAATATTCCATATGCTAGCCATCAACCCAAGGCCTTGCTCGGGTGGGCAAGCGTTTGTCTACCTCCTGGCTTTACCTGTTCCCTTTACATTCCTCAGCAACTGTAACTTTTAACTAAAGATACAGAAAGGCCAGGACTAAGGAAGACGACCAGTCTACAGGATGTACCTGGCACTCGTGATGCCAACAAATCATCCTATGTTGAAAAGTGCAGGCGCGGGGTCAGCAGTGCCCGCCATGGACCAAGACCTCCCCATGCCACACTTTCCCACTCCCTTTAACACAGATCTCCCCTCAGCTGAGGGAAGCACGGAGAACTCAGAATGCAAAGGCAACACTAACAGCATCTTGGACCGTCCCTCAGACTTCCTCAGAATAACCCACTCTCCCTGACTGCTTGTACCACATCACTTCTTCCTTTGGAACTGGCCAGCAGGGTCAAGGACAGGGGAGCCGACCGACTCTGCCTAGGCAAATGGTAGCTGGTTGTTTTTTTCTTGCTGAAAGCAACAGAATATCCCTTTCTCGCACAGTTTGAAATCTTCAGGCCCACATGTCAGTGACCATTTCCACAATGGGCAACACATCACGCTACTTTTGAAGCGCTACAGAAGTATCAATCAACGGGGCTCCTTCCTGTTTGCCTATCTAACAAAATGGAGTCATTATAGTATATTGGAAATCATATAGTAAGGAATGTCGGTTAACCAGTCACTCTTGCCAAGATCAGATATGAAGAGAAAACAAACGCTGGCAACCACTCTAGCTCTGATATTTCTCTTCCAGAACCCAATTTAATAAGGTTAATCTTTTAAAAATACAGTTAATTTCCTTACCTAGTTTAACACAAAACCTGGAGAGAAATCCTAAGCACCAGAGCTCAGGGCCAACTTCTAGGGCTACATCTATGATTTTAGAGAATCATCTACTCGGCTTGAAAGGACTTATTTTTAGGTTTATTATTAATGTTTTTATACCTCCCCTCTAGCAAAGGATCAGTGAGCTGTATTTTTAGTCTAACAGCTTCTAAAAGGAAGTGAAACTGAGGCCTATGAGGAAGCAAAGGCGGCTTATGAACTATCTCTAGTTTTAAACAAAGTTAACAGTAACAAGCATAGCATATCTTGCTCTTTCACAGGGTAGCAAATTGATAGTTTGGTTGAAGCTACAAAAATAGGATAGAGTAATTATACCTGCCAGACTCACAATAGCCTGTTCAATGGACAGTAACACTGCAATTTTTCTTCAAAGGCAGTAAATAGGAAGGAAAAGCCCCTTATTCTGTAGTATAAGGGAAAAAAAATATTCCAAACCCTTGGGCGCCACTTACAGGCACAAACTTTCACTGACTTGAGTTATTTCACTGAAGGGGGAGGGGGGGAGACATACAATTTTTGACTTTAATAAATTTCCCATAACTTATCTTTTACAAATGTGTGTTTTCTAAACTTTCAATTTCTACATTCAAAGTTTAGAAACGATAAAAAACAACAAAAAAACCCAACAACAACAAAAAAGCAATAGGTCTTTAGATACACGGGGGGGGGGGTCTTCAGCTCTCTACTGCTGAATACAAACCTACAAAATATCAGTATTAAATCTTCCTCCTCAAAGTATGAATGCAAACTACCTGAAAAAGGGGAACATACTGTTCAGTTGAGATTTTATGACTGTTTTATAAACATTTCCCCAAGATTTTAAGTGATAAAATAATGAAGCATCATAACAGGAAACCCAAAACACATGACAGTATTTTTGTATAACCTCTTCATCATGATATGCTTTATACCAGCAGATTTGAAGTGAATTTCAAACCAGTGCTACGAAAACTGGAGGGGGTATTAGTATTATTTAAAAAAGATAATCAATATTTTACAGCAAATGTAGCTATCAGATATAACATTTGAGATGCACCAACTGAATTCTAGTTAACAGTATTTATTTTATAGAGAGCCTTTGCAGTTTTAAGTCACTCCTTAAAGGGATAAAGAGAGAAAAAAGAAAATGCAAAATACAGATTGCCCAGGTATTCAGTTCTACCTGCCCTCACCCTGGCCCTCCAATTTTGTGTCTAGAGGCAACATTAACGTTCTATATATCATTTTTGCTGTTACAGCTCTCATGCTATATTCATAGGTCATTACATTGACTTTATAAATGCTGAAGTGTGGCCAACTGTATTATCATATAGAAAAAAAATCAGGTCTCACAGAACTAGATAAAATTAATTCCTCAAAGTTTGAGTTAGTGTTTTTTCTCTTTCATCTGCAGTTGATCTGTAGTAAGAGATGCCACCTAAGAATTATTCTGGTAAAGTTTTAATCTAATCTGCACAGAAACAGGAAACCCTAGAGGAAGATACGTGTACAAGTGCACACAGAAGGCTGCAGTTGGGTTGGCGACTGACTGCCTACCTTCCTCCCCATACTGCCAGAGCCCAGGGGTCAGCACACTTTTTACTACTGGAGGTGGGGAGTGGGGGAGGGAAAACGACCTCTAAGTAATAAACGGACCGTGATTTTAAACAATCCAGGGCACAAAAAGGGGTCAAATTACTTTAGATAACTAACCGAAACCAAGGATTCCTACTGTCAGATTCGACACACAATAAAACACTCTCCACCCATAGTAAACGTCAAGAAATTCTACGGGGCCACCGGGTGACTATCACGAAAACAAATCCAGCAAGCTTCACATACCCATCAAGATTTTATGCTTCTGTGCATTTTCATCAGAATTTTTAAAAGTCTCATATACGTAAAAGAATTTCCTCTAACAGAAAATTTTCCAGTAGCCAAAAAAGGGCGAGGCCAAAGAGCCGTTGGTGTAAACTATCTTACGCACATCCTACTTGTGGTGCACCGGAAGACCCCTGTGAGCAAAGCCGCAGCCCCGCACCGTCCCTGTCCCCGCCACGCAGCGGGGCTGCGGGGCGCAGTCCCCACAGCTTTGAAGCTGAATGGCTGACACATCCGGTCCTGGATCCCACAGCATTCCGCCAAACGCTAACTTCAAAGGCGGATTCAAACTCCTAGCACCGGGCGCTCTAGCCCCCGAGGTGCGGTAGGAATTCCCAGGGACACGCAGGAGGGGAGCCACGGAGTCCCCGCAGACCCGGCCGCCCCGCGAGCCCGCAGCATCCGCCCGCGTCGCTTTGACAGGCGTTCCCCGCAGTCCCCGGAATCCCCCGGCCGCCCGGGGCGCGCCGCCTGAGCCCGGCCCCGGTACCTGCTCGCGGGCGCGCGTCCCCGTGGGGCCGAGGGGCTCTATCCTGTCACAAGCGCGCAGACCCACACCGCCGTCACCTTCGCGCTCCGGGTCCCCCACTCACTGCGCGCCGTGGGGGCTCTCAGGACCCGGTCCCGGGAGCCCCGCACCTTCGCGGCTTGCACGCCTGTCACATGTCCGCAAACAATAACAAACTCTCCCGCACGTTCCCGTCCCGTCCCCACGCCGTCCCGGGAGCCGCCCGACCTTCAGGGATCGAGGTCGCGGGGCCCCACGAGCGGAGCCCGGAGAGCCGCGCGGCGCGCTCGCTTCATTCATTGCCCGCCCGGCCCGGCCCGCCGCTCACCCGGAGGGGGCCGCTGCAGAGGGCGGCTCGGCCCCCGCGGGGCTCCGGGCGCCGCTGTCCCGCGCGGCCGCCAGCTCGGCAGAGTGGGAGCCGCAGCGACTCGCCGCGCCCGGGGGTGGCGGTCCCGCCGCGGGCTGGAAGCCACTCGCTCCTGCAGCCGCGTCCGCGGGCTCCGGCGACGGGGAAGTAGATGGGCAGGGCGGCGAGGCGGTGAGGAAGAGCGGCTGCTCCGGCAGCTGGTCCAGCTCCACACTCCGCACTTTGCGCAGCTGCCGCCGCCGCCAGTCCGCGCGCTCGCGGCCCGCGCTGCCAGTCTCCCGCAGCAGCCCCGCGCCCGCTGCGGGCGCGCCGCTTCCCTGGA